TGGGGGGGGGGGGACTTTGTGTTTTGATATGTTTGATAAGTCTCAAATTATGGCAAATTATTTTATTACAAGACTGAAACAATAAATGTAATTTTGATGCCCTTTAAAGAGATAGTTCACCAAAAATTTTTATTTTGTCATCTACTCACACTCCGGTTGTACCTAACCCACGAGATTTTGATTTATAAAACCTAAAAGATCTAAAAAGGTTATAAAGGCATCATAAAACTAATCCATTTATGAGATGTAAATAAACGTCTCTTCACAAGACTTGGATTAAACTGCTCAATTTAAGTTTTGGTTACCTGGACTTTCAATGGAGGGACAGAAACCTATCAGGCTTAATGTGCGTTTTGAAGATTAGCCAATGTCTGATTTGGGATTGGACCTACACGAGTGTGAGTAAATGATGAATTTTCATTTTTGGATGAACGCTTTAATGTGGTATGACATATCCGATATTATTTTACTACTAATTATAGCACAAAAAAAACATGAATGACCCTCAGAAGGGATGTTCAAAGATACTTACTAAAATGAATAATCTCTTACATAATCACCCAATCAGTGTTTCAGCCATGAAAAGATACGATATGATATAAAATGAAACCTTACATTATTTATTAACACCAGTTTTGAGTAGAAACACAATTATTTCACTCAGTGCATGAAACTCAAGATCGTGATTCTGGGTCAAAATGACTCAAAATAATAGTCCCATATGTTCTTTGCTCTCTTTTAGTTTGTTCTGTCATATTTTTTCTTTCATCATTATGGCAGCACTTCACAAGTGATGGACTTACTTTCTCTGTTTCCATTTCCCTTTCCCATCCAGCTCCAGTCTTTTCTTCAAGTCAACGTGACCCAGGTTCATGTAGATGAGTGTGTGGATGCTGACTGTCGGGGAGGAGGGGGCTGCACCAGCTATCTGAGCGTGACTGACAAGCCGGCAGTGGTTGACTCGGGCAGCATGGCTCTGGTGTCAGTGACTGTGGAAGCCACAGCTGTCTGCAGCTGCTCAGCACGTGAAAACCTCCACCAGAGCTGCTCCGTCTATCCCAGAACCCCCTGCCACAACGGAGGAGTCTGTGTGGACACGCAGAGTGGATACAGGTGAGAAAGTACAGATTTTCCTTTGAGAGCTCAAGAGCTTATTCAAATTACTTTATTTCACTTCGCATATGGAGAGAAAGTGAATGTGACGAGCAGTGAGATGTTTACAACAGACTTCCTTTAGCAGTCTGTAATCTGCAGCAGGTTCCTGAGCATATGCAAGGTCTTCGAGGAAACAACCAAGCACAGTGTGTAAACATTACATTAGGTTGAGAATTGTTGCTTGATGAAACGGTCTGAAGCTCACAATGCACATGCACTTAAGATGCATAGATGCCTCATCTCCATATCACTTTCATGGGCCTCTTTGAAAGTGTAAAAAGAGACATGATCGAGTGAACTTCCACATGGATCCAAACCACTCTTTGTAAGACTAATATTTTCGCTTCTGAGCTTTTGCACAAATATGAGGCTGAAAGAGCCTTTCTTTTTATATGTTATTCAATTATCCAGTCCTGGCATGGATATTGATTTCCTTCCCCGAATAACAATACCGAGTGACTGGGATTGGACGGTTTTGGGGGGAGAAGGGAGCTTGTGATAATTGTTAGTTGGGGATTTTTTTTTTCTCGAAATACACAGAAACCTGGCAGCCATGAGTTAATAACAAATGCTCTAACGCCATTTTTTTTGTTTTGTTTTTTTATTTAGCTGTGGCTGTAATTGAACAAAGCAGGCGATCCATGTCTCATATTGAATATTTTGAACAAAATTTTTTCTCTGTTTCACGTTTTGTTTCCGAGCAGGAAGTTGTGTATCTGCCTACACTGGAACATGTAGTTCTAATTAGCAGTGATGTTTCTTTATGTAAACTATGTATGTTTAAGTGCAAAGCTGGGCAGCGTTGTCATACATCACTTCCAGTTAAAACGTAAAGAGCCAGATCTTCTAATCATGCTAATTCTTGCATAGCTAATTCAGTCCTTCAAATGCATATGCAAGTTTGATTAGAATAGCTGGATTGAGTTGTCTGACATAATTGCGCATTCCCATGTTGATTGGAACAGGAATATATATATCAACCCCAAAACTGCAGAAGTGCAGAGATCAGTAGCGAAATGAGAACAAATCTTCACATCATTCAAACAAGAACTAATTTTATAGACTATGAAGAATTCCAAGCACTTTTAAGAGTAAAATGCCATTTGTAGTACATAAGTTCCATTAGTGTTTAATAATGCGCATTAAAATTGGTGTATTTTTATTTTATTTTAGAGCCAGTGTTTTGTACATTAAAAATTAATTCCAGTTGTTTTAATTTACATATTGGTTTAATTTACATATCCAGTTTTTTTTTTTTTTAATATTGGCCAGAGCTGTTTTAAGAAATTCATCAACCCTGTGAAACCTGTTGTTCAGATTTACATTTCACTTCCCTAATGGTAAGATAGACCTGAAAATGACAGCGAGAGATGGTAAAAAATGTGAGTTGACAATACGATATGATAAGATTGTAACAGTTAGCTAGGGCACTGCTGGATGCTTAGCAGTGATTTATAAACTCAGTGTTTTAGTATGTATGGGTTGATTTAGATACAAATCAAGAGAGCAGCTGCCATGTGGAAGCTCCTAATGATATCTGAGATGTGGTTGCAGATGTGAGTTGTATTCTAATTGTAGCTTGTGATATGGAGGATTTTTCTTACCCGCAGGGAAATTAAAAATGCAGAGCAAAAATGTATCATAAATACTGGCCTGACTTCTTCCAAAGGGGGAATTAAAAAAATTAAATTGCACATTTGCCTATTTTATAATTTATATGTTGACCTATTTACCTCAGCACCTATCGAGATCACACTGCCACCTCTCATTTCACACACATGCACAAACATTCCACACCTGTATATTTTACAGGGGAGACTGACACGCATACAGTTCTATTACACTTTTTTCCCAGTCTCCATTGCATGACATGACCTTCAGGGATGTGCAGAGAGCTCGTCAGGGCCAGGGGCTCAAATGTAAAATAGGGACAATGTAAAAAAAAAAAAATTGCAAGGAGTCACTTATGGTCATCAACCCTGCATTTATTTGATCAAAATCGATGAAGTACGGGCTGTAGAAACCCGACCTCATCTCGGCTGGAGGGACCGGCTGTATCGCGTCCTTCGCAAGCAGGACCGCGATCTCTGCACGCAAGACTGGAGCATCCTTGTCCAGCACCGAGGTGGACCGAATGCCCCTGAACTTGGGAGGGCGCCGGGCGAACTGAATCGCGTAGCCGAGTCTGATGGTTCTCATGAGCCAGCGAGACGGCCTGCGGAGCTCTAACCAGGCCCCCAGCGACCAAACTAGCGGGACCATTGACGTACCCGCAGTGGGGCAGCGTAGTGGAACACAGGGACCCAACCCGGGAGGCCGTGCGTCCCAGGGTGGGGTCTGAGTGCGCGGCGCGTCACTTACCTGGCTCCACGGCTGGGCAGGGGGCTCGTGAGGAGGCATAGCGTCCTTGAACCGGACCCTGCTGCCCACTGGCGAAAGGAGAGGGGGACGGCCGTGTGGAGACTGGGTCTCGTGCACCGCCGTCCTCGCCCTCTTGAGACCCGGAGGCAAAGGAAACTGCTCTTTCATTGAAGTTTTGGGTACCACTGGCTGGGTAGCCAGTGG